AAAAAGTGTGCGATTTGACGTGGAATGGCCCATATATATGCGTGGATTGTTTTTTGCCAGTTTGCACTCTTTTCAGCTAATGCCTCAGAACTCTTTCAGATTCTGTTGTTTGTTAGAAATTGGCTCTTATTTTAAAAATCTAAGACAGTCTTTGTTCTGCCTACTTATCTGTTTGAACTGATTAAAACTCGTAATACATTTTCAGAAGTAGAAACAAACGAAATTTTATAGGAACAAAAATTTTTGAATTTTGCGAAAGTGTTTGGAAATTGAGAGCATTTTTTAAAATGTTGCTATGTGAAAATAAATCTGCGAAGACTTTTATATTTCAAATTTTTACAGTTAAGCAGTAGATTTTCAGCGATTTTTTTCAAAGGCAGATAATGTTAAGTTCAATGCTGTGGACTTGTTCAGCAACACGTCGGACGGGTCTTACTTATGAAGAAGCACTGGAGTCAGAGCGAACTGCAATGGTATTAATAGTAGCTTTGATTTTTTGGGAAAAAATACGGAAGTATAATTTCTCTGATTTTCAAATATAAATTTTTTTTTTCTTAACTTTGCTTGCTGGTTGTATCATATGATTTGGATTTTCAGGAAGCTTTAGAGACCATTCCTGATTTTTTTGGGGCTCCAGTACTATATTTAGTTCATGCTTTATCCCATCGCGGTCGTCTCGATGATCTCGTTAATGATGTTTATTCATTTTTAAAAGATAGGTACTTTGTGGGTGAAAAATGTACTTACACTGGTGAAAGAAGAAAGAAGACGGTTCGCATTATGAGTGTGTCGTTTAAAGGAGCAGACTTCACAATTTTTGCCGGTGATTTGGAAGCTGACTCTGTGAGGGGTGAAGATGAGTAAGTGTCTATTGAAGCACTTTTCTGTTCTGACTTTTACGAAATTATTTTTTATTTTTATTTCTCAGTCATATAGCGCTTTTTTCACTGTTTTTTGATTTGAGTTGAGCCATAAAACGGTTTTTTGTTTAGCAGATTATAAAAATACAAGATCCTTTTTGGGTATTTCGTTTAAAAACTGCAAATGAGCTAGTTAATCAGGTATTCCTATTTATTGGGTTTTCTTTGTGTTGTTTGTTAGCCTCTTTGCACTACTTAGCTACCCGGTCTCATCGTGGGTTTCGTGCGTTTTGAGGTTTTCAAACTGCAAAAGTTGTGGAACTTTTTTTACATTTAAAAGGAAAATAATTTGCTGATATGGAAAAGATTTATCGAATTGCTGGTGGCTATAGTGTTTTTCCTTTTTGTTCTTTGTTTTGTGGCAATGAAAGCATAAGAACTTGTATTTTTTACCACTTCTCATTTCATTTTTGGGCACAAACTGAAATTTTTTAATTTAGGACGAGAAAAATTGAACTTTTAAGAATAGGCGCTGCGGAAGACTATACCTATACAGTACAGATAATAGAGGAGGACGGGTCAGAAGATGATAATGGGGTGCGAGAGGGAGTTGTGTACAGTCAACTGTCGTAAGTTGAGGTGGTCTTCTGTTCCTCTTGAAATGCTTTTTTGACAGGAACTTTGTTTAGACGGCCGAAATCGATAGCGTCGAGGGCTAAACTCAAACTTTTCCTCAAAAACTCTTGTGATATGATGTCTAGAAGACAAGACGTCAAGGTGTTTTTTGCTTTTTTGGTCAATTTTTTTGCGTTTTCGAGGTTACAAAAATTTGTTTTTCACAGTCGCTGCTACTTTTTGAAGTTTCACGGAAGAAATTTTTTTATTGTAGATTGAGGAACAGCAGTTTGAACTTTGAACATTTACAGTTTTTTTAATAGTGGTTTCATAAAATCGTAAGCGGCTTTATTTTTGTTGTTATTGATGACTTAGTTGTAGGAGGCTTTAGTAAAGGACTACGGATTGGATATGTTAACCTGGAACGAAGTTTTTGGTGGTCCTGTGGCTCAGTTTCCACACACACCAATGTTACAGCGTGGTCGCTCAAAAGGAACGCTACACGTTCATACATGTGTGGATAAAAAATTTATTAGTTTTTTATTCCTAAATTAGCAGCAAACTTTGTATGCTTCATGGTAAGCTTTCAGCTGAACAAGAGAGGCAGTGCACATCAGTAAAAGATCTCGGTTTAGTCAGTGGAGATGTAATTTCCCTAGACAAGAAGAATCGTGGGCGCCCAAGAACTTTTTGTGGAGGCGAGAAGCGTCCAGCTCAAGAACTTAGAGGAACACCAATAGTCAGTACAAAAAAACAAAAACCGTGTTCAGGAAAAAGTGGAAAATCCAACCAGAAAGGGAAAAGACGGAAAGAGGTTTGTTCTTCACAGTCGCCGCTGCTTTTGGAGATTACATGGAAGAAATTTTTTATTGTAGATTGAGAAACAGCAGTTCGAGCTCCAAATAATGTTCCAACAAGCACGCAGTGCTGGAATGGAAGATCTTTCGAGTTGGGAGCAGAGTGAAAAATTGCTTTCAGAAGAGGAGATTGGTGATTTGAAATCTGCAATACGTGTTGCTAAGGAGGAGGTTATATCAACTGTTCGAGAAAGATTATTAATTTATTTTTAGCTGGCTAGATTATATGCATGACGTTTTTTTGAAAATGTTTTTTTGACTGGCCAGCTCTTCTTGAAACCGTTTGTTTCTTTATTGTTTTGATACTTTTTATGTTGTTGTGGAGTACAAGTTTTTTTTTCTGAAAACCATGCTATTTCAAATTCTTAATCCGGTTTTTTTTATGTAGAAAAGAAGAAAGGAAAAAGAAGCAAAGCAGCGTAAACGCGAATTGTACGTTGAGTGGAAAAAACCAAGAGACGACCTTTTATGTGATGATTTAAAGGTTCTTACTCGTATCTTAGTATAGGTCATAAATTTTCTCTTGGTGAAATTCTCTTTTTTCCGACTACTTCGTGTATGAGCTTATTTTGCTCCTGAAGAGTGGTGGTTAACTGTCATCCAAATAGACCTGTTTATTTCAGCCTTTACCGAAGCTAAAGAAGCTAATATTACCGGAGTGGTTGAATGAGAAGGATTTTGGTGATTATCTTCTTATTTATCAGTTTTTCCAAAGTTACGCGGAACTTCTGCCTATTCAGGAAGTTGGTGCTCGCGATTTATTACTTTTCGTGCTTTAATTAATCTTCTAGGATATTTTGACAAGCTTTCCTTTCCTAAAGATACAACTTCAACAGTACAGGTGCGCGGGGCGTCGGATGTGACTTTTGTAGATGTTATTACCGCTGTCAGAAGTCGAGATCCATCTTCTGCTTGTTTTGTAGAACTTATGCATGTTCTTTTACTAGCGAAAGCTGAAAGAGCAGATGAAGAAGATGGGGATGAAGGTAATAAACTATTATCTGTTAATGGAATTTCTTGAAGTATATTGAAGAGATTTCTTGTAACAGAAAGAACTTTTGAATTTTTTGATTTATTTTGTATTTATAAAATAGGTACTAATTGAATTGAGTTTAAGCGTCAGTTGTTTACCGCCATTATAAGTAGGTTTTTGTCACTGGTATTTGAGGCGTGCTTTTTGTAGTCGATTTGAGCAACAAGGAGGAACTTCCTGTTGACGCTAATAATGACTTAGAAAATAAAGTTCATGGGAGCCGTCTGCGATGGGTGACAAGGTTCCATGAAAGAATACGTTCTACTCATGGTACGCTTCGTAATTCTATAGGATTTCTTCCTTCAGCTCTTTTCAGAAGCTTATCATTTTTAATCAACCATTATTCTCTTGGCTCTTTGCTGGAACTTTTTTATTTTAAAGGGAATATAAAAGTATTTATTTTTTGTGCCACCTCTTATTTTATTTAAGCTTCCTTAAAAGGAAGGTTTTGTGATCACGCTTTAGGTATGAGTGCACGTCATCTGCCGATTGACTGGATGACAATGACCGAAGTGCTCCGTCTCTCATTGCTTTCTTCCGGTTATTTTACCGGTATAGGTACTCATCGTTTTCGTCTGTTTAGTAGAGGTGGGATTCGTTGTTTTGAGGATGAAGGTTATATATTTGTTATGAATAATCCGAGGACAATGCAGAAGCTTGCGCAGGTTAAAAACTTTTGTTTAATTAGTTTCTTCCTGGAAGTTATTTGAATTAGAGCTACTCTATTTTGTTCTTTTTATTTGCTGAGTTAAATGTGAAATAACTTTCATTTTATTTGTTGTATTAATTGCTTAGAGCAGAAAACATTCAAGGGCACTGTTTTTGATCTCCTTCCTGAGGAACGACTCGCGTTACTTCAAGTTCTTATACATCAGCTTATGAGTTACCATAAGTTCCGGTCGTTGTCTGAGGAACGAATTTCGGCCATTGCTGAACTGCGGCGAGATTTAAAAGCATTGCGTGCCTGGGATGCATCTCAGGTTTATAAAAATTTAAAAACAGAAAAATTGTTTTATTTTCTACTGTTTACGTGGTTTAAGTTTTCCAGTTTTAGGAGAAGAAAGCGAAAGAAGCACGTTTGATCTTGGAATTCGTAGCGGAGCAAGTAGAGGAAAACGGGGAAGCGATTAGAAGTGAATTGACAAAACGACCCAATCCATCAAAGTCTACCAATTTCTTGCTGAGCTACTTAACAGTATCTAAAGATTCAGTTGCAAGCAGACGTGAGGAAGAAGCAGTAAAGGTTGTTTCAAAATGTTATTCATAAATCATTTTACGCAGATTTTGCCGACGAGTTCACGCGAGGTTTCATCTTTAGTTTTCCGTCATTGGTAACAATACCGAAAATTGATTTTTTAATTGGGATGTGTAATAAAGTTTTTCAAGGTTTTGTGAAACTTTTTGGGTTATGTTATTATGGTGCTTTACACAAAACACGCGTAACTTTTTGCTTAAAAATATTTATCGTTTTTTTCCTACTTTTTTTGCTCAAATAAATGGAACATTTGATTTATTGTCTGCAGTTTAGATACTTTTGGACGGGGTTGCCTACGAAGAATTGAAAAATGTTGAAGAAATAGAAGCAATACGTGGTCTACAGAAAGAGCACTATTCGGCAAAAGAATGCTCCCTTCTTAGCAAAGTTTACGACTTGCAATGTACTTTAGTTTTTTATTTTTCTCCTCGTGGAATAGTGAAGTATTTCGCTGTTAAGAAACCATAACTATGAAGTCTGGGTTTCGTGTGTTTTTGGTGCTAGAATCCTTATTTATCAGTAACTTGAGCTATACTAAAATATTTTTTCGTTTAATGCGTTACAGATTAAATGTTTATTCACTTCTAGCAGTAAATTTCGCTTGAATATGTTGTTTTGTTATAATTTTCTAGGTCAAATGGGCTACAATCAGTTGGGCAGAGATCGGGCGTTTCGCATTTACTGGGTTGTTGATTCATTATCTTTACTTCTTGTTGAGGACCAGTTCGCCGAAAATGAGAATATTCCTTCTTGTGAAACTCCTACTCCACTTGACAAGGTTTGCGGCTATTTTTGACGAAATTTACTGTGGTTATACGTTGACCTTTTAAGGTTGATGATGGGATATACAGCAAGATTTCCACAGATGAGGAATTGCGTAGTATGCTTTTATCCTGTACGGCATCCGATGGTTGTCCTGTTCATTGCAAACGTCCCAGAATTCGCTGGTCTTTCGTCGACACCTTGGAAACTTTGGAATCGGTAACAAAGGATATCTTGTATTTGTTATATAATGTTCTTACTACGGATACCATAGTTTTAATATTCGTTTTTGAAGCTAATTGACGCTTGTAACCTAAGGGGTTATCGAGAGCTAGAACTTGTGGAGAACTTGAAGTTCCTGAAAAGTCGTTTAAGCAATCTCGTTTCTAGATCAGCCAAAAAGGTTGAAGTTGAAGTTCTCAGTTACTTTACATTTTCTTGTTTCACTCATTTTTGCTTTTAAAAGTTTTGTATTATTAATTGTAAAGACAAAATCTGTTTCTTTTCAGCATTGTTCTGGTGAGCTGTGTAAAGGTTTGATGATTTCGCCAAACGACCCGGCATCTGTTGTTAGCACCTTTGATTGGCGACAAGAGTTTATTGAAATGTTGCTCGATTTTGAAGAAAAGGTTATGTTTCTGACTATCATTTCCAAGAATTGTGAATGTTCCAAATTACTTGTTGCTTTTCAGATGGAACAAGGCGGCATAGGTCATCTTCATTTAGGTGGTTCGTCAGCTCTCCGGGAACGGTGGAGAGAGTCTTTAAGTAAGGAGTTCAGTACCACAGAGTTTTTGAATGGTATGTTCCCTGTTTTGACAAGTAGTTATACCACGTTCTATTTCCGCATATCTTTACGGTCAGTCGTTAATCTCTCAGAGTAGCAAAAAAGTTTTTAAATTATAGGAGATATAATGGTTTTCGATGAGGTTGTTGTAACTTACGACAGATTAAATGACTTGAGCCCAGTCCAACATCTGGCTGTAGCGTTTTTACAAATTGTGCAGGGGGTCCAGTTTAAATTTTTACGGATGCCTTTTGCAACAGCCGATTCTAAAGAAAAGGATGCTGTCAATATTCCGACAACCACGTTTGCTCAGTGGCAAAAATCTTTGCTCGAGTGTAACTCTATATCTTCCTTAGCCCTATTTTATGCTACGCTTGAACCAGCTATATTATGGAATAAAAGTCTGTTGCAGGTACTTTAGTATTTACCGCTTATAATTTGCAGCTTATTTCCTCTACATTTCCTTTGATTCCAGGCCAAGTGTAAGGTTTGTCGCAAGCGAGGTGTGGTTGATAAACTTATTTTGTGTTCGAGGTGTGATCGATGCTACCATATGGACTGTTTGAGGCCACGATTGTCAAGAGTAAGTGGATTCTAAGCAGCGAAAATGTCAGATTTAGCTAATTGTGTTGTGCAAACTCGCGTATTTTTGTAAAACAGCTTCGCAAATTGTATTTTTCTTTTACATCTCTTATTTTAAAAAGTGCCTTACAAGTGGTCAAACTATCTGCTTAGATTCGTGAGAACTGGAAGTGTACTGATTGTGTTGCGATTGAGAAAGCTAAAGTGGCTGAGGAGAAGCGTAAGAGGAAGTCTAAACAAGGTAGCGCCTTTTTATACATTGCTGCCATTTACGGAGAGGCCTGTGTGCGTTGAAATTTTGGTGTCATTTTGATAATTTAGATGAATTTGAAACATATACTGAGGAGGATGAAGACAATCAGTCTACAGATTCACTCCTCTTCGATGACGATGTTACGTCTACTGAAGATCAATCGTAAGATCTCCCATAGATTTTATGTAGTCTGTTTAGACCTAGTTCAAAATTTACTCAAAATAAGGCACTATCAGCAACTGAAGACTCATCGAATACCTAAATCAGTTTTGAATGCTTTTCCGGCTAGATTGAGCAGAAACTGAATAAGATTTGATTTCCACTTGCTAGTTTATCTCCCCGCTGTTCTTTTGCAGGAGTGATTGTCTTGAGCTAAAAAGAACGCAGAAAGGACGCATTGTTAAAAAGGTTTGACGGTCATTTTTTTACTTGTTTAATTCTTTTATCTTTTCAAGATTTTAGGTGGTTTACGCTGAAGACTCTTATTCTGTTGGAATAAGGAGTAATAAGAAGTTGTGTAAGGGTAGGATGTCAAATGGTGAGGTTAAGAGGACTGATAACGACGCCGATTTTACTCAAAGGCAAAAGAAAACTCGAGGCAGGCTAATAAAATAACATCTTAATATCCCTCAGTTTTATGCGCTAATTACGAAAGTTATTAAGGCAATACTGGTGGGAATTCTCGTTTGAGCATGGGTTTGCGTGAAAGTGACCATCAAAATCGAAATGCTTTGCGGTTAATGGAACACATAATCAGGGAAGCTATGAAGCAAGAGAGTGCTTGGCCCTTCATCGACCCTGTAGATGCGAAAGAAGTACCTGATTATCATCAGGTCCGTCTTTTGCTGTTACTGTTTTGTCGATAGTTAACACTTGCAAGAATCTACATTTTTAATTACGTTACAAGATTTTCTTTTTCATTAATAACTGCTTGTTTAAGATAATAAAACGACCTATGGACTTGAGAACTATGATGAACAAAATAAAACAACAGCTGTACAACACGCCGGAAGAGGTGGTGTCAGATACCCGACTTATGTTTGAAAATTGCAGGATATACAACAAAGAAGGCTCAATTATATGTGGCGTAAGCACGATTTCTTATGCTGTTTATTCATTTTTTTTAGGATGAAAGTTACTTCTTACTGTTTATTACTCCAATACTGTCAAAATATTTCAATCACTTAGTATTCAGTTAATGAATTCCTGTTTAAAAATAAGTATTTTTGCTTAACTTAAATTATAAGCTTCTGCAAAAGGCATTTTGATTCGAATAAGGTTTTTATTGAGTATTCACTGTGTGATGTGAAACGTGTTTAGTGTGCAGATAAGCTGGAGCAGTATATGCAAAACAGATTCGACCAGATGTTTCACGATGGAGTTTGTAATAACAATAATAGTAATAATAATAATAATAGTAGTAATAATAATAGTAGTAATAATAATAATAATAATAATAATAATAATAATGTAATGTAATAATAATAATAATAATAATAATAATTATTATTATTATTAGTAATAATGGTAATAATAATAATAATAATAATAATAATTCGCGCTTGTTGCGGCGGTGATACTGTTTTATCATCTAAATGTACTTTTTATTTTTTGGCCGGCAATTGAGTGTGTAGTGTGATAACGTGATTAAGCAGTTGTCACTTATGGTTCCTCATTATGTTCTGTGCAGCGAGTTTCTTACTACCTCTACCGTGTTTTTTGTATATGGTTGTTAACTTGATAATCTCTCAGTTACAGTTTGTTGATCAGTGTGAACGTTTTCTTTGCCATCTCTCTTTGTATTTTATCACGATCTTCAATGTTCGTATGCCTACTGAAATACGAGGTGCCTTTTGGATCGATATCCATTAATTTTTTTTCCAAATTCATCCTTCAGCTAAAGCTTATGTGCAATATCATTTGCTGGAATATCTCAATGACTTTTTAAGTCTTTCCCTATGTCACGTTGATTAACCTGTTCATTCCGGAATGCCCAATAGGCTGCTAAGCACTTTGCTACTTCAAGACAGTATTACGCAATGAGATGATAACAAACACTGCCTGAAGATACACTCTGTGCGAAGCTGCAGGCTTGCTTTCCAAGGCTGCATCATCATTTGTTTATATGAGACGATGGGGTTTTGGAAATTTTAAAGAAGTAAGATAGGTGGAAGGGTTTTGGCGTTAGTACTTTTCGTTTTTGCTACGAGTCGTAAGTTGCTTAGCACTGCGCTTTATTTCACTGCCTCTTGTTCCGTTTCTTCTCGTGTTATTGCTGTCTTACACTGCATAAATTTTCCGAGTGGGTGCACTACATTAAAGCAGATCGGTGGTGGAGAGCTCTGGAAATACTGGCTGGCCGTATTCACAAGAACTGGGTGGAAATAAATTTGCACCAACAAAAGTTCGAGTTCCTGATATGCTAACAGTGCGGTTTGAGGCTTCTACATTCGCAAATATCCTATCACATTATTGGAGCGACTGCTGAGCTTCAAAATGGAAGTTATTTAGTTTTCTTCAAGTGCTTGAATTACGGCAGCTCAAATAAGCGTCGTTAGTTCTCACTCTAACGGAGTGAGCTGATACTTCTGTGGTTACTTTGTAGTGACGGGAGATTCGGATCTAAAATCAAGTGAAAAACAGGCACGGGTGAGAAAGTTAGAATTAGTAGGGATTTTCAGTGTGAGCTGAATTGTTATCTGAGCTGTGGCACCTCTCGAGGCTGATAAATTGTGTATGCTGGAACTGGTTTACTTCAGATAAGTGCAGGTAATATTCTAGAAAGGTTTAGAACAGGTATGGCTTAATCATGGGTGCGCGATTCATCTGGATTCGCTAATGCATATGAAAGATTTCCTTTTTTTTTTGACGGCTTTGTTATTTCGTTTTCCAAAAATAAGAAAGGATAAAAAGATGTAAAGTATTCTTCTAATCATTAAATTCGACTTTGAAGGCGATTTGCTGCGCTAGTGTAGCACCTCTTCAAAGAAAAAAGTAGTTCATTTGAAACATAAAACGCAAATAAGCAAAATTTCTATCTGTATACATGAGAAATCTGTCATTATACAACTGGAAAAATTATTTTTCCACGAAAACTGTTGAAAGCCTGCTGCCTTCCGAAAACCCACCTTCGGCACTTGATCAGCAAATGCACTCGTTTCGTTCACAAAACACGGGAACAGCACTTTCGCGGTTTCAAAAAACAGCCGTTCAGTGATAGCTTGAAAAAAAAAAAAAATAAGATTCCGGACTTCAGAAATAAATTCAACTTAGGCAGCTTAATTAAGTACACACTTTACGCTCTCCCATGACTCCGTCAGGGACTTAACGCATTAAAAAAGGGGACACTTCAATAATCCCGGAACAGCCTCCACAAAAACAAGTAATACTCTACAAGCAAATTAGAACATCTACAGCAGTCTAACGTTACAAATATAGGCGTTACTAATATATAAATTCGCTATTCAACAGTTATAAAAAAGTCCGGTTGCCATCAAGCAAAACGACTTCTCTTCTAACTTCCTTTTTGGCTTTTTGCGAAAGATAGAAAACTTTTTTTTTTTTTTCCAGAAGCCCTCCTGAGTCTACAATGCTTTCTCACTACCTGACTCTCTTTCTCAGGTAACCATATAACCAGAAAAGGTGTAGGGTTAAGCCATTTAGAACTTCTCAAAGCCCCCAGGAAACGCTCTTCCCACTGATAAAACTGGAAAGCATACATTTACGCCAGTTTTCTAGAAAAACCAATTATTTCCATGAAGCACTATTTTTTGCTCATTCAGTTTGATTCAGTAAAGGCTTAACCCCTAGGGTTATAAAAGTTTGCGCTAAATTGTGCTTCTCTTGTTCCTGACATTCTCCTGAAACCATATTTCTGTGTTGGTGGTCATTAGTTTTTTAGACGCTGAAATTTCATCCGGATTCTCTTAAGAGTGGTTTCGCTCGCATCTAGTTTCCATCTTTCAGGATGCTTGGGAAATTTCTCAATATTACCGCTCAAAATGGCAAAAAACCTGAAACTTGAAACTCATGTGACATGCACTTTCCAATTCTGAAATCGAAAAATTTCGCCGAGTAGTATTTAACAGTTCGCATACGACCACAATTTTTTTTTTTTTTTTTTTGGCAATTTCCTACGCTCAGTCCTCTTATTCAGACTGCTGCTGCTGTTCCAGACTAAGAACATTTTTTCCAGCTACCCAGCACTTATCGTAGAAATCTGCTGCACTTCCATGAGGTTTTTCATATCCAAGGGGGATTTATTCGAAAACCAATGTGCACTAATTAAAAAAATCCGACGACAAGCTACTTAAAAATACAAGCTTAATAAGGAGTTGCGGGTCAATTTGCAGAAATATGCGTCTTCTTCCGTTTTTTTTGTGTTTTCAATTAGGGAGCCGTGTGCCTTAAGTTACGCTTTTCTTTCCCCATTAGCTTCTATTTCTTTAGGAGCATGTAGAAAGGAGCTTGTGATATTGTAGCGCGCAGTGCTTATAAGACGAAAAACTCCTGCTCTCCTACAGAAAAAGAAATCAGCGGAAAGAAGACATCTAACTTGGTAAAACTGGACCTCAACTCATAATCAAACTCATAATCAAGAGTTGGGAAATTGGTCTTCAGGTCTTACCAAAGACCAAAGGCTTATTCCAAGATGAACGTCCTCGATGGGCAAAAACTTCCCGGAAATGCAAAAGAAGACAAGTACTTTAAAAACTGGATCCACGATCTCCAATTCAGAAATGAAAAACCTTCGGAAATGCAACAGGTTTGTGCAGGGAACACAGAATAACTTTAAAAAACGACACTTAACTCAAAAAGCCGACTGGTTATCCTTAGTCCAACTAGCTTAGTTCAGTTGTTAGTTCTTAGAGTATCCCAGTATCTACACAATCCTCCCAGAATAGGCACTTCGAATAAATACATAAAGATCCGAAGTCAAACCTGCCTGAAGCTTTGACCTCGAAGAGCTGCGATTTTCCCAGTAAACGGGTGTTTCATTTTGGCATGGTCTTCTGCGAGAGGCTAGAAACGAAAAAGTTGAAGATCACTATATATAGGCTTCTTTATTCCCAATTTGGTGTGAAATACTTGTCGGGGCAGGACCACACAATTATAGTAACAATGCCGGCTGGCAATTTAGGCAAGTGTTGATCTAAGTTTGTATCAAAGCATTTTTAACATCCTTGCTGTTGAAAATTTGTAGTAATCTTGGTGGCATTCTAATCGGGAGATTTGTGGCAACAGTGTGCCTGTTGAATTTTGCTGAAATGTAGCTTTTTTGCTGAGTTATTCACCAATATGTGCTATTGTCTTCAATTTTTTGGTTTACTGGTTTTGTTACTTAAAAAGTAAAAATAATTTTTTTGTCCATCTACCCACAATTTTTTCCATTTTTGGATACTGTGTAGTGTTAGCCTGAATTTGTAAAATTTTTACTAGAATTAAACTCGTAGTTTTTTTAAAAATGCACATTTTATGTTGTAAAGTAGGTTTCATTTGAGTATAGTTAGTGTATTTTTTTTGTCCAAAACAAGGACAGAGTTTAAATACAGCAAAAAAAGAGACTATTAAATACTGATGCGGTTGAATAAACACTAGGATTTATTTTTATTACATAGATAACAAATTTTGTTAAGGTAGTAAGGTCTTTTGAAGTAGTAAGTTCCTTTTTTTTTTCTTTGAAGTTCCTAGATTTTTTTTTTCTAGCATTAGGTTTCTTTTTTTTACATAGTAAGTTTCTTTTATGTAAAATAACAGCACGCCAAAGTCACAAAGTTTTTAGTCTCAGACAACCCCTTAATTTTTGGGGTCTTCTGATACTCGACGTCTTCCATTGTCGTAGTTGTTTGGCAGGCGACTTCCCGAGTTATATAGTTTTGCCAGGGGACACCACGGCCTCTCCATTCGCTTTATTATTCTGTCTAGCTGTAGGAATTTTAATCTTTCCAGTCTTCTTTCTCCTTTCTTAATAAGCTAGTTAGAAAGAGAATATATTTCTTCTTTTTCTCTCGTCATTACTTCCAGTTTCAATTCAGTACTCGCTACTTTTTACTAATATTTTTTAAAGTTTTCTTAATTACTAAGCTACTGTATTTTTTCCTCCTGCCACTTTATGACCGCCTTTCTCAAGTGTCTATAATTTATTTTTCGTCCTTTTTACATTATCTTGAAGTATTTTGAATGTAGATTACAGTAGGCAAAAAAAAAAAAAAACAAGGTATATAGACAGTACGTGGACAATTAACAAAGTTATTGCAGTAAAACAGTTAAAAAGCATGTGTAATAAATTCAGTTTACCCTCATATTTTGGCTAAAATCTCAGCTGAAAATGGAAATTAAGTCCTGAAATTTTAAATGCAAACAGATAAGACCTTAACAAACAAAACACAAAAGCTGCAACATCATTTACACAAGCCATTTAGAAGTTTAGCATACTTTTACGAAGTTCATCCGGATCATTTCCGGAGGCCTACGTATTAAACATTGGCATTGGGCCAAAGCCGTTGGAATTTGTCTATAATTGAGAAATTTCGCTAGCAAAAAATTTCACATCAAATTGGAATCGAAGACGCCTTCATATATAAAACTGTATTCTAAGGTAAGCCCAAAGAAATATTTTGTGCTTAGAAATTTGACAAAAAATTTGTTTGTTTAGGTTCAGTAGCACAATGGCTAGAGACTACGAAGTTAGGCGTAAACTTTGGGATGCAAAAGTACCAGTTCAGTTTGTACTTGATTCCTGTGAGGCACTGCAATGTTCTGCGAAACCGTATTTCGTTAGTCATTATTGCTACTATCTTTTCTTCAGTTTTATTTTCTCTACTGCTGATAGGAGTTTCTCTGATATAAGCGACTTCTGAGCGTGAAAAATGACAATTTTAGTGATAAAATTTAATTTCTTCATTATCATTTTATCCAAAGTGCTGTTGCGAAATAGGTTTACTATCACACAGTTTGCGCGAACTCTTCCGTTCAGGATAGATTCGAGTAATAAAAAAGATTGAAACTATGGCTGCGGTCTCCTTCTTTTGCCTTTGCTGAATTTGGTTGTATATGTATTGTGAAGAATTGTTTTAAGATAATGCTTCCAAGGGTAAGCTATTTTTCACTGGCGTTGCCTCGAGTTCTACAATTTTTTGGAAATGCCGTAGAGCAGATAGACACGGATTCTGTGTGGTTGCAGTACGGGCCAACTCCTGTCAAATGGTTTTTTTTATGATTGCATTTTCCATCTTCTTCTGTTAACTCGTTTTAGTCTTAAAGCTTTCTTTAGGCATTATCCAGTTGGGGTGTTGTTCGATTTGCTGAAGGAAGATAATAAACTGCCGTGGATAATAACCGTGCGAACAACAGTTCGTAATTTTCATCCTGAAACTGAAACTTCTTTAATGAATTCAATTAGCGTTCAAGTTGCAACCAAATCGTTTGAAGTTTTGAGGCATAATAGTCTCATATTACGAATTTTCTTTGGTATCAAAGGTTGTTATGCAACTTATTTTACCCTTAAGGATGCGTAATGTTTATTAAAGTTGTACGACTTAAAAAAATGATTTTGCAGTTTTGTAACTATATTTTCACTCTAGGTTTTAGGATTTTCCTGAACAGCTGATTCGCTGGAGCAGGGATTCTATGGAAGGTTCGTTCATCCAGTCTGTAAAAGAAGCTGACTATTTGAAACATAAAGCAGAGGTAGTAAATTCTATGAAGCCAGAGGATTATAGACGGCTGTGGAATGGACTGGTTCACGGTATCTTTTGAAATCACCGTCCTGATTTTGTAATGAAAAAACTTGTTAGTTCCATTCATGTGCTTGGCTCAAAAAATCTGCCACTTTCCACATTGGCGAGCAGCTTCTTTTATCCAATTGAGGCAAAAAAAATTTTCAGGAAAAGGGAAAGATTTTGAGGTATTTTGTGTCCTAAATAATCAGAAAGAGGATTTAACAGATTTTACTTCTTATTTCTGCAATACCTTCAAAATGCTTTTTGGCGAAAACAAAAAAATGGTTAATTGGTATTTTGATTTTACCGAAGCAACAAAGTATAAATTTAATCAGGAAGTTTTGCTAAAATTGGTCTGTTTGTATATACATGAAAATTACCTGTAGGCGAAGAAGCATGATGAGGAAGGGAGGAGGAAATAAAATGAACATTTCTCTGCCACCGAGTGAAAGAAAGTAGGCAGCCCTATATGACTGCGTGATATCTGTCGGTTTGCAACCAACAGTGTGAGATCCCTTCAGCACGAGATAGCATTTGGAAGTCAGCCCATTTTGATAAGGAGGGACAATCAAGAAAAAAAGCTTAACAGTTTGGAACTTTTAATGTCTTGGTAAAATTTATCGGAGGAATTTGTCTGTTATTATTATCCCCGATTGTCCCGAAGGATTGAGCAGTCAAAAAGCCAAGTTCTTCAGCACGAAGTCGGTTTCAAACTGTCTTAAATGTCTAGTGTTCTGCTTTTTGGGTCTCAATTTTAGCTTATAAAGTGGTTTTTTAAATAATTTTTCAAGCATTTTTATAATTATTTGCAAAACATGTCATTCACTTTGTTGAAGTTTTTGGGAACAGGATCAGTTGGTGGCATGTTCATCGGAACCGCTATTGGGTTCCAGTTACCTTCCTCGTCATCATTTTACTTAAAATTGGCAAAAGTTTGTGTCGGAGATATTACTGAAATATGTACTGTAACTTTTGGTTCAGACGATTTTTGCTCTGCCAATTAAAAGGCTTGCCTTTATGTTCTCAGTTTGTTTAGTCGCGACTGGCGTAATCATGACGGGGAACACTTTTTAGCTGTTAAAAACGGAGCGGGTGACATGGTTTTGTTTTTATTTTTGAATTCAGGCGAATATACATGCGAATCAAAAAGTGCAATTACATTGAAATTGAATTTGCCTTGTCTTCACCTAGGCAGTTTGAGAAGAAAAGGTGAGAGTGGACAGTATTTGTTAGGTAACCAGAACTTAATGAAACAGCCTGAATGTTTTTTTGTTTGGCAAGAGGGAATAAAAAAACTTATAGCTTTCTAAAGACTTGGTAATTAATGGCAGGTCTCTACAGTTTGTAAAAATTGGAAGAGATCCTTGGAGGATATGCATTTTTCTGCCGCACTACGTTGTCTGAAGCTTCTGTGCGTCATTTTCAATAATTTTTTGAACTTTAGGTCCTGTAGGCGTTATATTCTAATCTAATCTAGGTGAACTGTCTTTTTAAAACTAGTCTAAGAATAATTTTTGCTTGGAACGTGTGATGAGTTATTTTATAAATTTTTCGGTTTTCTGGTAGACTGTGCATTCTTGGCTTTCAGAGCGTAAAGATGAAAAATTTCAGAACAGTTTGACGAGTACTGGTTCGTCAATGAGAAGCTGGTTTCGAATAGAGATCCCGTTAAGCATGTTCCTGTGCGCTTTTATGAAGTTGGCATAAATTGTACTCTTCTCAACAAGAAACCCTCCTTTCGTTTTCATAAACTCTTCATAGTTTTCTTGTGTAGCCAAAACATAAATATTGACTTAGATTACATCGCGAAATTTATTTTAAAGATGAATACTTCGAGAACAGATCGGTTTTTAAACTTCAGAGCGGATATGCTTTTCGCCAGTTACTTATCACGCCTTCCGATGATAATGGGAAAGACCGGACTTTGGCAGATGCTTGTTCTGCGGCAGGATTTGGTGCAAGTGTTACGGCCATTTCACATGGTATAGAAGTGCCTTTGACTACACCACTTTCCTGGATGGTCGAGAATTATTCTTATCTGGATAATTTTGTACACATTGTAATTAAGAAAGTTTCCTAAACTTTAATGAATTTTTGATGTAATTCATTTTTTTATCTTACTTAACAAGCTGGAGCTCGAGTTTTTGATAGCCCTTCTCGTTGGTGACTGCTTTGAATACATCCTACGTTTTACTCTCTGCTATTCGCCTTTTCTGCCTACCAATGTGGACAACTTATAGGTCTTTAATTTGATTTTAAAAAATGAAATTTTAGACAGCTGGGGACAGCAAAATGGTTAAAAATAAGTTCTCAAAGCGTTTTGCTTGATTGTCTTGCTGTTTGCAACCATTCGTCACTTGCTTTTTAGTACGAGTAAAAAAATTACTTGGTTTGGTTTTATTGACAAAGTTTCTAATTCAAAGGGAAGGAGATACGATTTTTGCCTCTTTTTACAGCTTGTCTTCATCATCATCTTAATGCTCACAGAATGCGAAACGATAAGTTCTGCACCATTTGGTAGTGCTCCCCGTTGGTGTTCTCTGGTGTTAAATTGTTTTCGTTTAATTTGGAGTCACTTTCTTTTCGCAAAGCTGAATAAATGAACTGGTTTTTAGATGCAGTGTTGACTGATTCTGGAGGTTTGGTATAGTTGGGGAGCATAGTTTTTCAGAAATGGGACAGTGTCGGAGCGGAAGCGAAGCGACGACATCAACAAAAGCTGTGATGAGCATCAACGGGTCAGGAAAGAGCAACATATTAATGAATAAGGTACAAAATTATAGTGGGAAACTTCCTAAGCTTTGTTATTTTGCCGCGGCTTCCGAAATCCGTTTTGGGAAAACTGAAGTCAGATGAATCCACTTTTTGAATCAAAGAGTAATCAGTCCAGTTAAGAAAGTCGTTTCTCTCTATTAAAGTAAGATTTTGATATGAAGTCTTTTTAAACTAGGGTTATTTTTACATTGCAGGGTGTGTATTTGAAAACAGTCGAGTGCTAGTTATCTAAGAAGAAGCGGAATTAAATACGTTATTTTTGCTTTGCTTTGATGTTTGTGTCTAGTAAACTTCTGAGAAGTTGCAAGTATTCGCACCGGGTCACCTTCAAAGGATCGTTTGAAATACTTTTGTTATGAGTGGTTAATGACGAGGTCGTAATTCGGAAGGGGTAGGGCAGTGGCACTGTAAGGTTTAGGAGAGTGAATTATGGAGGTTAATGTTTGATAACTTTTTCTGTCAAATTGAAAAAGTAGTGTGAGCAGGACCCTAATTTGCTGTTAGCGGTAATGCACGAATATGCGAATTGAGGTTTGAAAGGAAGACTTGAAATTTTTTAAAGGATTGTTGAGATGGAAGTTTTTTTACTGTAATAACCACATTTTTATAAAGGAGATCCAGGGATTACTGTGCTCTTACAAGAAAAGAGAGCGTGCATCAGCATTTTGACCGTTGAAGAAGAAAAATTACGGAGTAATCATCGTATTAAATAATTCACGGTACCTTACCATCTTGTGCTAATGAGTTAAATAAGTGCCAGACGACAGTGTTGCCAAACAATTTTGGCATTTTTGAATATTTACTGATTGTGCTTTATTATTTTTCTTTCTAAAAGGAAGGAGATCTTGGCTAGTTGCCTCTGCAAAATCCATGCTCAGTAGAACTAGGGTCGTTTTTACGTAAGGAGCCATGTTGGGCGTTTGGGAAACCCAAATGTATATTATAGTGTAAACAACTTTTTGAATCAGATGGTACTGTAGTAAAGTAGTAAAAAAATCGTGAACCTTTCTCATACAATTCCAAAGCGGCAGCAGGGTAAAAGACTATCTCTTTTCCACAATTCGTTAAAATATCACATTATTTTTTTTAAATTTTAGCAAGTTTCATAGATTTTGCCAGTTGGCTACCAGTTTTTTAAGCTTCATTTATTTATTCGCATAAAGTGTAGGACGAACTCTTCATAATTGTAAGATCGCAACATACAACGGTTCTCCCCTAGTCAGCGGAAAGAAAGCAGGCGCTACTGCGGTTAAATTTGCTCATTGTATTGTGCCTTACGAAAAAAAGGCGGAAAACTCAAATAGTTTATCTGAATAAAGTTTTTATCATTTCCGTTGTGGTCACGTTTGGTTCTGTTCTTTTTTAAAAATTGTTTATAAACTTAGTTGCTCAAATTGCAGCTGTTGTTTTAAAATTGTTGACAAGCAGGAATTTTTTGAATTTTTTCTTTTCTGAAGGTTTATGAAATTGTAACAGGCACTACTTTACTTTGCTTTCACGTAAATGCAAGTCGATTTTGTTTGTTATGAGATTGCGTATATCGTCTTTGCTTTAGTCTTCATTCTATTTGCCTTGTCTGACTGAGATTTTGCCGTATCGGCGCTTGTGAGCTTTTGGTCGTCCATAGCTGACCATGTTGCCGTATTTGCCTGTTACCTGATGTAAGAAATGGCCTGTAATGTTCTCCATAGCGCTCTGTTCCCCTAAAAGCTTAATAATTTTTGTAATGAGTAAATTTCTTATTTCGCAGGAGCCGCTTTATTGAAATAAGGAAAATTCTATTTTTGCTTTTAGATTCTGTGAAGAGCCTTTTAAATTCGTTTAATTCACTTGTTGTAAATGACGATGTGACGACAAACTGAGTGTAGTGCGAAGCAAGCTACGTTTGAAACATTGTTAGTTACTTTTTCTCCGCTAGTTTGTGTTGGAAAACGAAGAGAGGTTTCAAGATCGGAAAAGAGAGACCGGGAAAGTAGTAATTAAAAATTTTTACCAGCTGTTATAATTTTTATAAAAAAACTCTTCAGATAGTTTATTTTGGCTTAGCTGTCAGTAGTGAAGGGGCACTCATATTTTTTTAGAATTTTATTTTCATTTTTTGACTCTTCAATAACTGATTTCCTTTTATTTTTTCCGCTTTTCTTCCCAGTTGCTTAAAAATTATTAATAATATCTAGAAACTATAAGGTTGCAGTTGAGCTGTTGTTTATGTTTTATAAATACATTACTCCAGCTCTAGGTTGCGGTCCTGAATAAGTTGATCACTCGAACAATTAACAGTTAGTAGATAGCATTATAATTTAAGTGGAAGATTAGTCTAACACCTTGTAGAAGATTATTCTTGACTGACATTGCAGCAGTCGCAGTGGATAAGATTCTCAGAAACAGATTTTACGTGTTATTTTTATTCATATAGTTCAATTTCACCTCTGAGCACAGCTTTTTTTGAAAGATATCAAATAACAGCTCCTCTTAAATCCATTTGTCCTCTTTGGCAGATATGGTTCCAGTATGAAAGAAAAGAAAGAAATTTGACGTTATTTAGCGTACGAAGTGCTTTTGAAATTTTTACATTTGAAATTTGATTGAGAAGAAGAAAAAGGTCTTCTCTTGGATAGTACTTACATGTAGCAAAATTGATACTATGGCTTTTCAAAGAGAAAAAAGCTTAAAAATCTGTCAGTTGAAGTTGTTTTTTCTCACTCTTCCCTCAATTCTTAAAAATTGAAAAAAGAATTTGTTACGGTATTGGTGACGGCACTAGAGGCTTATAGTTGTCTTGAATATGTTTGTTATGAATAGCTACTGCAGGTTTTCCGCTTTTGATAGGTGGTAAAGTAGAAGAAGAAAAAAGATTTTAATTGGCACGTTATAGCTTGTCAATTAGATATAGTAACATGTTCAAGTCTAAATTAAGCGCTTTCAAATCCCTACTGATTGAAAGAAAGTTTTTTGATTTGTGGTAGTAGGTTACAGTTGTTCCTTGAGCAATCTGGTCACAGTATTCGGGAATGATAAAATCAACGATACTAGCATTTCCGCCGTTCTAAAATGGCAAATATCCTCGTCTGTGTCAAAAAATGGCCTTTTCAGCTCCGCTGACTGTCGGACTATTGTACACTTTCGGAAATTTGCAACTTGAAAGCGTCACTTTATATATCTTTAATCCAGTTATTAATTTTATAGCATAAAAGAGTGTTTACTTTCCTTGGTTAGCCAATTTTTTGCAGAAAACTAAAGAATTATAGAGTTCTTTACAAATAAGGTGGAAGCTAGTAATTATCTGATATAGAATACTAAAAAATCTGTTGTTAAAAGCAAACTAATGGCTTTCCAGTTTTGTTAAAATACAGCTGGTCCGTTTGGTGAATTTAATTTTTGGAACGTCGGTAAAAACCCACTATTTACATAAGCAGAATGAGGGTTTTGAAAAAAATGGAGTTGGTGAGGCTTCGATAAAAATGAAATATTTTGTGGTCGCTGCCGTAAACAAACTGACTGCAAGGCTGCTTAAAAATTCTGGCCTTAAATTCGATCCGTTCATTTGGCATCTTAGTTGTTCCTAAGCAATTCTGTTCGGCCTTTCTGCTACGTCTATTTTCTAGTGCAATTGTTTTTTCTTAAACCCTGGTAGTATTTTATAGTCGGAATTGTCAAAAAAAAAAAAATTGTTCCTGCTGTTAGTAGGCTATCAGTTTTCAATTTAAACTTTCTGAAGCAAGTTAAAAATTATATTAGTCATAATAATTCTGTGCATAATGATCAGCAGTTCTGTTCCTACAGTGTAACTTTATTACGCCGCGTATTATCGTTTTTAATAAACAATAATTTTCTACATTTCTTATTTATGCTTTAAAATTTGCCCGCATGATACTACTCATTGTGTTGTAGTACCAATGATAAAGAGTGAGAATAATCGTTAATATAAAAGATTTGTAGTAAAGAAGAATAGCTCAAATATGCTTCTAACGATTGTGTCAAGTTGAAGGAGCTTAAATGCGCTATGGGTAACATCGACCTCGCCCTGTTATGTATCGTAATCTTCTTGGTGCATTTCGCAGAACTAATTCGAATACCACCTGCAAAATGCAACTCGGCGCTGGACCGTGGACCTTGTAAAAATTTTACTTCCAAATGGTATTATGATCGTTATTCCAAACAATGTCGTAGCTTTTTCTATGGTGGTTGTCAAGGGAATGGGAATCTTTTCGACTCGCTGGAAGGTGGTTCAATCTATAGAATTACAGCTACACTTTTGTATTTAAAAATCAAAAATTGTGATAAACAAGCACGGCTACTTCATCTCGCTTCCATTCAGTTAGTTCACAACAACCAGAATTTTTAACTACATTAATATTACACTTACTCCATTAAAGCTGTGGCCGACTGAAAACTGTTAGAAACATTTTTAACAATGAATGTTTATTAAGTTCTCTTCATTTACTATTTCTTCACTAAGGTCTCACAGTTTTTAATAAACAGTAAAAAATTTGCTGTGGGTTTGCCCAATAGCTTTTGCCTAATTCTTCAAACAAAAAAAAGGTCCTCTCACTCCTATAGTTTACACCGACACATACCGGATTTCGCGCCGGAAACCTTTAAGCATCCATTCTGGCCCAACAAAGTTCTGAGAAGAACAGCTTCTGCGCCAACTTTTTCCCTACAGTTTATATCCTGATGTTGTTTTTCCTCTCTTTAAGTGATTCATTTCAAAAAATACTTTCCCGCTCTCCGCTGAAAAACGGACTTCTAAAGATAAAAACATTTTCCAGAAACAATAATTCCAGCGTTTCTTGATTGAAAATAGTTTGGTAATGCCCTTCTTCTAATCACCTTTGCTGCCAATGTTTTCAGAAATTCCCAGTTTCTTCTATCCAAAATTAATTTTCTGCCGCGAGTGTCAGTTATGCAGAAATTGATATTTACTGTAAAACGTAATAAAATCAGTTTCCCAGAAATATTATAAAGATGCGGTCCAAGTCACAGTGAACTTTCAGAGCTATAGATACACTATAGATACATCAGTTTCAAGTCCCTCGCAATTCAAGAAGTTAGAGAAAAGCTAAAGGAACCCAAAATTAATTAAAACCCAAGAGAAAAATAAGCGCTTCGCAACAATACTGATGGGTTTTTCAATTGTTAAACAGTTAGAAACCTTGTTTAGAGTGCAGGGCCACATGTGACCGCGAAGAAGACAATCCGGCAGTAAAACGCTGCATACAGCCATTCGACAGAGGCACTTGTGAGGAAAATATCAAGAGGTGGTATTACGACACCAGAACGCATCAGTGCTCATGCGGGTTAATCTAATCTTTTAGTTCAATTCGTACCAGAACAGTAAAAAGTTGTCGTTAGGCAGCTACAACAATAGCTATTTTTACTCAAATATTTTAACCAGCCAATATCAAAAAAGCTGTTACAGTTTCTTAAAACTGTCAAATTTTCCTGCTGTTAATTGAAAAAAAACTCGATGCTTTTAAGTTAGCGACGACTTGCGTGAGCAATTAACTATTAATAAAACAGAGAGTGAATACGCTCATCCCCACTAAAGTGGTAATTAGCCGTTTTCCAGAAGATGGAGTGGTTGTGGCGGCAACAGTAATCTTTTCCACTCGTATCAAGAGTGTTATAAAAAGTGTGAGCAATTTATTCCAAAAAAGGGCCCCGCATCAGCGATGGATCCAAATCAAGCTTGCGTAGACAGTTTCACTAATGAAACAGTAAGTTACTTCAAACTTTTTCCTAATGAAATAACTCACTCAAAAAAAAAGAATTTATTTTTGTTTAACAAAAGCTACTTTAATTCTAAAAATCTTGTAACTGTAGTTTTCTGTACTTTCAACAGAATAATACTTAGGAGAAGGAATCTGCTTGTTCATATACCCTTTTATTTTTTAAAAAATATTCCTTACTGTGAAATTATTCAGTCTAAATAACATTTATTTCGTTCGTCGTTGCAGCAAAAATCTGCATTGCTTTAGAAATTAACGCCCAGTAATGTGAAATGGACAAAATTATTTCATCGTCAAAGAGCTCAATTTTTTGGGGATCCGAAATCTGGTAGAACAGTTATTGTGGCAGTCGAACATCATACTGGGAAACTCCATAATGGTAGAGTAGTAGACGAACAACGTTACAAATATGCAACTAATAGTACTATCCCACCAAACACCTACAAGAATATAACTGCTTCTCGTCATCCTCAAAATTCTAATACCCTCCAAAGACAATCTCAACCAATACATCTAACGGCTCATTTACCATCATCTGTATTCAGTTATTCAAACCATGAACTGATGGGATCAAATTATCAGAATAACTATAGAAACTACGTAACTAATCACAGTCCACCAATGATAAATAGTAATAGTTATTTTAACGCAGAAGCACAAAATAAGCTTCATAATCACTTAGCTCATCACAAAAACGAGCAGCCTGGTTATCCAGCCTCAAAATATCCAGCGCAATCTTTACCATTATACATACCTGAAAATCGACACATTCAAAACTCACTATCAGCACAACAACCTTCACGACAATGGCCTCACTCCCACCAACAGCCTTCGAATTCAGAAAGACATCCTCCGCGGTCCACCCTAAAACATAACGCAGGACCCCACACGCAACTTTCCGCTCATCACCATGCCAGAAACCCTGGCTTAGTTCAGCGCTCACAACCCGTTCTTCGAAAACACCAAATCCAGTATTCTGCTACGTCCAAACCTCCAGTGATAGCTGGAACTTCCTATAAGCCGTACATGCCGCATAAACCATCAAGCGGGAATCAGAATTTACAGCTCAACTATCAGACGAGAAATATGCAGCACTCTTCCGCAAAAATTCCGCTGCGACAGTATTCTAATGTCTCACAACCCTTCACTCAGTCATCAACTTTCCGCCCAATAACA